GTTGAACGGCTGGTCCCGTACATGCAGGGGGCACAAAGGATGGTTCTGGACGGGTTGTTGCTTACGCAAAGGAGCAATGCCTTTGTCAAAGGTATGTATATATATATATATATATATATATATATATATATATATATGTATATATATGTATATGTATATATATGTATATGTATAAAACGTGTTGCATTAATGCATGTACATATGTAAAAGTACAAAGGCCAGCAACACAACCACATTATGCGCGCTTTTATATTTTGCTCCCTGTCCCGCTACGGACGACGCTTTACCCATGTAGTGGGTTGAACAAAAAGCAATTTCTGCAAAAAATGCACCTGTGGTGTCATACAGTCCAAGTGGAAGTCGAAAGGGAATGTAAAAAAAAAAAATTAAAAAAGGATGGAGCCAGTTTGAAAAGGTTGTGAGAGAGTTGGTTTTTTTCATCGCGTGGGCATAGCGTCGATCTCCCTTCGAAAAGGTGTACATAAAAAAAATGCATTTAACATGTAATAAATAATTTGCATGCAATTTATAATGTTTGTTCTTAAGACGCATATATTTATGCATATACATATATATATATATTTACTACTGCGTATGTAAGAGTGTGACATGAGGCGTGCACACGTTGCATGCACAGGTGACTGTTGTACGCGGTGTGATGGGGGAAAGTGTGGCAAAATTAAAATAAAAAGAATAAAGCAACAAAAGTCACCAAAAAAAAAAAAAAAAAAAAAAAAAATGCAATAGGAAAATTTTAAAAGATTTTAATCCAACTTGAAAAAAAAAAAAAAAAAAGTACGCTTAAAAAAAGAAAAAGGCTTTTCATTTTTACTGCATCTCAATTGCGCTCAAGGCATCCTAAGGAAAGAAAAAAAGGGATAAAAAAAATAAATAAATAAACACGACGATGTTGTAAGAAGGGATGGGTGTTGGGAGGTACTCGGACAGTGGTTATCTGAACAGAGGTTGCACTGTTCTGTGACTCTTCTCATTTTTGTCATTTTTTCTCTCCGGGGGTGTTGCGCACATGCACATTTTATGAACATATAAAATGGACAAATAAAAAAATGAAGCTTCACAATGTCGTTACAACTTATGCGTACACATGGAGTTTCTCATTTGGGTAGCTGTAGCGGCTCTCATTTTTTTTTTTTTTTTTTTTTTTTGGTAAGTCCCCTCGATGTGGAAAAAAAAAAAAAAATTTAGCTCGGCTCTCCACACATTACTTTTATAAGGGCTGTTTGCAACAGGTCACTATTGCCGCCGAAGGCCTGGTCCAGGTGGAGCTTTGCTTTACAACACTGCGAATTCGGGGGAAGGGACAAGTGTGTATTTGTAAGTAACAAAATGCGTTCAGTGCTGACTGAACAGGAGGGTGGGGTAGCTACACGGTTCGCTAGCTCGGACAAAACGGAACAGAATATGCGGGTAAAAAAGGAGTCTCGCATTTGCAGAAACCACCTCAACCATGCAAATCTATCACTAACCCTAAGTATGGTCTCCTCGACGGTGTTCTTGCAGCACAATCGGTAAATGTACACTTCGTTTTTTTGTCCTAAATTGGAGGGGGAAAAAAAAAGGCAATGCAGCGCTTTAAAGGGTGAACTGCCCATTTGGGGGGCTCACACACACATACGCATACATACGTACACATGAGTATTTGTATGCTCCACTGATTTACCTAATCGGTGAACTCTATCCTCCGCCTGCCTGTCGTTGTGGGGATTCCAGTCCTGCAGAAGGGGAGGGGTGCGTGGGTTGTCAAGCGTGGGCCAGTTCAGCATTCATTGGTACAGTCACACGTTGGCAGTGAAATTTACACGCATCTTTGCGCGCCGCTATCTGCCGCTGCTTGCCGCTGTGTGCCGCGTCGCTTGCCGCTACGTGGCCCTCACCTGGTCCATGAGTATTACGTGGTTGGCCGCGATCAAGTTCAAGCCAACGCCGCCCGCCTTGGTGGTCAGGAGGAAGATAAACACTTTGTCATTATTGGAAAAGCGCTTTATAATTTTCTGCCTCTCTATTGTGTTCGTGGACCCATCTAGGCGGACGTATATTTGACTGTTCCCCTTGCCGTCGGATGTGAACGAGGATGTGGATGAGGTGGAGGACGACAGGTTCAGGTCGTTATCATTTTTGTTGAAGTCGCTGTTCTGGTCGTCCTCGTTATTGAGGTTGTTTTGGTGCGTGTCGTTCGCCGCGTCCGCCGCGCCCGCCTCAATCGCTGCGCCCTCTTCGTCGCCCTTCGCGTCCACGTGGCCGCCCTGCCCGCTCTGCGCGCCGTGGCCGCCTTTCGTGATAGACTGCAGGTGGTCCGAAAAGTCCTGCTCGTCGTATATGAACTCATAAAGAAGGGCCTCCTCAATAATATCAAGAAAGGTAGTGAACTGAGAAAAAATGAGGACCTTTTCCTTCTTCTTCTTAATCTCCTTGATCAAGGATATCATGTGGTGTATTTTGCTACTGTTTAGTATGTGCTCCTTTGAAATTAGGTACTTGTTCAGGTTATTATCTCCTTGTGATATTAAATGCTTAATGGAGAGGTGAATGTCAAAATCTGATATTTTCATGAATTCATTTTCAACTGTCTTCAAATCCAAGCCCAGGTATTGATCCGTGTTGGCGTAAAAATATTTTGAAATTTTTTTTATGTCTTCAACGGAGTAGTAGTACTTGTGTAACAGTGGGTGGTTACATATTCGCCTTAAAATGAAGATTGAAGCATTGATCATTCTTCCTCTCACTTCTTTACTCATGTTGTTGGCACTTTCATTGTCCACTGGTTCGTCTTCCCTTTTGTTTATTATAATATCTCCGTCTTTGTTTTCTTCTGCCTTTTCTATGTTGATGGTTTCTTCGTCAATTTTGTCGTCCTCATCGTCGTAGTCGTTGGGCTGCTCCGCCGGGGCGTCTTCACTTGGGGCTCCGCGGTGCTCATCTGTGCCGCCCTGCTGCTCTATGCCACCCGGCTCGTCCGCACTATCCGCAATGGGCGTTCCAGCACTGGACGCTCCCGCGGTTGCTTCCGTGGCTGCTTCATTTCCCCCTTCATTGGTCAGCCCGTCCGCAAGCTTGCCCATAGGGGTTGCGCCCGACTCGTCGTCGCCGCCATCCCCTGCATCGCTGCTCGCGCGAAAAACATTCTCCCGCTTAATGTCCTTCTTCTCTAAGATCACTGCAAGCTTCTCGAGCTCCTTCTTATTCGAGTGCTTTTGTAAAAACTCCAAGTGCTTATGGGTGTGCTTTAACTTGGACATTATTTCATCTTTATACAAATTAAGCTGCGTCGTATTTAGAGGCAGCTTAATAATTATGCTATGCTTTTTTGGCATGTCTATGAAGACGTGCTTTTTTGATCTCCTCAATATGAACGGTTCAATAATAAGTTGGAGTAGAATGATCTCCTTGTTTTTCAACTTGACATGTTTCACATCATTGTTAATCGTTTCGATCAGATAATTCTTTATAATGTTTCTTGTTTCCTCCGTGTAGATAGCGCTTCCATTTGTGCACTCATTCATTTCTGTTTGTTCCTCCTTTTCCACAGACTTGATATTATAAATGTCTAGGGTTTTATTGCTGTTGTGAGGGGTGGCATCAGAGTCGAGGTTTCCATGATCGTCATTCTCCTTACTGCTAACAATTTCGTGGTATATTTTAACAAAAGCATTCATTGCATTGTTAATATTTTTTTCGGTAAAAATTTCTGGCATAAGAAAAAGGAGAAGATTCATCAATTCTTCTGTTTTGTTTTGGATGGGGGACCCTGTTAGCAAAATTTTATTATTAAAAGAAATTTTTTTTTGTAACTTTTTATATATTAATGAATTTTTATTTTTTAAAAAATGCGCCTCGTCAAAGATGAGATAATCGTACTTTTTAATTTGCCTAAAGTAAGACACATCATTTTTGCCAACCAACATATTAACACTTGTAACGATTAAATGTATGTTACTCGTTTTGTTTGTAAAAATATCGTATGCTAAATATTTTCTTTCATTTTGACTTCCATAATAAATGATCTTATGATTTCTCAAATAGGGACACCACATGTTAATTTCATTGTTCCAATTCTTTAATAAACTTGTAGGAGCAACAATGATCGTTTTATTTTTTAATTCTTTCGTTCGATACATGTAATCGAGGAATACACACGTCTGTGCTGTTTTCCCCAGGCCCATTTCATCCGCCAAAATGCCATTTTTCTTTTCTTTATACAATACATATAACCAGAAGACTCCACATTGTTGATACTTTTTTAGCTTATGAAATGTGTCCACATCTTTTTCAAATTCGTTAAAGTTGGCGTCAAAGTTACTTACTCTGAAGGACCCTTTTACAAACTCTTTTATAATTTCCTTCCTTTTTTCCTGTACGTTTGAAGTGAAGTATTCAATTATTTTGTTCTTTATTTTTATCGAACTTAGTAAACATTCGTATAGGTCATTCAAATTCTTTTCATGTTCCTCTTCGTTGGACTGGGAATAATCATTCTCGTCACTTAGGTTGTTATTTTCATTTTGATCATGTAGGAGGAGGGTGGCATCCTTTTGTTCCTCTTCTTCGTATTCCTTCTTTGGGCTTTCATTATCATCATCATGATCCTTTCCTCCCTTTGCCTTCTTCCACGACTGGGCAGCAACATCTGCCTTCGAGTTGTTGTTATCCCCTTCGCTATTTGAACTGTCCAGTACCCTCCTCAGTTTTTTTTTCTTCTTCTTTTTCACAACATGCTCTTCGTGTTTTTGTTCTGTCGATTCGTCTAGCTTCTCTTTGTACACGTACTGATCGAAGTCGAACAGATTGTTTGTAATTTTTCTCTTCCTCAAAGGTTCAACAAATTCGAACACGTCCATTTTTGCTGTTTTTTTTTTTTCACATTGACAGGGCTATATATATATATAACACGTTGGGAGAGTTTTGTGTCAGTCACTCCCTCCGTCGTTCACGTTTGCAGACTATTCCTGCCGCTCACCCCTCCCCAAAGAGGAGGCGATTAGGATTTGCAACAAAACTCGCAAGTATACACTTACGCAGAGAGGCGACGTTTTCCCCCCCTCATCTATGGCCGCTCAAAATGTCATCCCAATGGAGTCTAATATATGGAACACGACGGGACAGCCAAAAAAAACAAAAAAAAAAAAGGGGGACGTATGGGAAACACCGCTTCGTCTCACATAAATTATACGTGAAAAAAAAAAAAAAAAAAACCCATGTGATGCGACAT